AAGCGTACATTAGAGCCTCTCCTCAAGCATAGACCAGAACGGTATTCAAGGCAAAGCTCTCCTGAGGCCAGTGACTGCACAGAGGCACTTATCTATAAAGAAGCCCTCAAGCTGTGTTTGGAGGACAGCAGAGTATTCAAGAAAAGTATTACATATGCTTCACTTCCCCTGTTTATATAATCTCAAAATCTTAATTTCTGGCCACAGTAGACTAGATGGGTCTTTCTTTTTTGGGAGTTAACCCCCCACAAAAGTGCTCTGGCATTCTTCTGAGTAGCCTTCCTCGTCAATCACTATTTCTGCTTGTTCTTGTTTCTCAGTCATTACTTCTGTCCACTTTCTCCATTTTTACCTTACCCTGTGTTTTTTCCTCCCATTTCTTTACCTCCTGTTACCTAATTCCTACCTCTTGTCACCTCTGTATTTTTGTCATCTGCATAATACTGATCTTTACATGCTGCAACTTTATTTCATGCTTCAGGCAGAGCAACAGGACACATGTACTCAGACTTCAAGAACATTGTTCCAAATCTATCTGGAGACTCAAAGACAAATGTACAGTTGTTTCGTTCAGACAGCATTTTCTTCAAAAGACTGAAATAATAATGTACTTCCCTTTTTAAATAAAAAATAAAAAAATGTTTGCACACATTAGCTAGGTCTTCAAAAATACAGTAGGCAAGGAAGCAGGCTATCAGTCATGCAGCTGACATCCTTGGTCTAGAGACAGGAAACATCTCCAGACAGCAGGGCTACGGAACAGCAGACAGTCATTACTTCCATAAAGATACTCTACAGGTTAGAGTATGCAACCTCTGCAAAATGGTAACAATCAAAAAATATGTCAAAGGGTGATAAGGAAGGAGAGATGAAATAAAATAAGAATATGCCTTCCAGCGTGCAAGACCAGAGAGAGGGGACAGAGGAAAAAACTGCACAAGATTTATTTCCCTTCCCTTATCTGAAAGGAACTCTCCACATAAAACTTTGAGGGAGTCTACTCATTTTCAGGAAGCGGGATTACACAGCAACAGATTTCTAAGCATTCAGTTCATGCAAATCATACTAACACAAACAGAAGGATCATGAGCAGCAAAGCGATGCCAGAAAACTGGAATTGCCCATTTCAGATGTTGACATAAGATGTATAAGAACAAACATACTATCCTAAGCCATAGTACAGAAGCTTCCACATACTGACTTGTTTACATATGATTCCTCAATTACACCTTTTCACACAAAATTCTTTGTAGCATGTCAAAAATTCATCCAGTCAAAAATTAGGATTTATTTTCTCACAACATCAATGAGCTTGGTTTCCTTTACTACTGTATAGGTATCTAGCAGTGCTTATATTACAACATCACCCTACGCTCAGGCTTAAATGGTTTCCTGGCAAAAAGAGGTTTTAGATTTAACAACATATTTATTCTAAAAGCAAATTTCTTCTCTGTCTCTCCAGAGAGACTTCAGTAACAGTCTGGTTAGCAAGCAACATCTGTATAGTACTGCTACTGAGTATTAATATACTAAATTCTCCCTACTATAATATTAGGTGATATTTAAGCCTTGAGCTCTATAAAAGTGCTAAAACAGAAACTACCAATGTGTCTCAAAATAACTACTTACAAGCCTAGACTGCCACCTAGTGATGTTGCTTACCTACCAAAAAAACAAAAAAACCACCAACCCTCCCTCTTTCAGGAAAGGGGAAAAAACATTAATTCCTTCATATTTTATATCAACACAGAAACAACCCCATATGATATCACTTATATCTCCAGTTATTATGTTGATGGTAAATGCAGGCAGGGAATGGGGAAAGAAAAGTCAGTAAGTGCATGTAATCTTCCTTGTATAGGTAAGATCCATGAGGTTGGTTGCTTGTTCATTGATTCTGTCTGGAATTCCTCCTTGTTTCACATGGACTCTAGCCTTTGCATAAAAAGTATTGTTTCCAGAACTTATTTATCTCCAAGACAACACTGACAGTCACCCACACCCCTCTTGAAATTTTGGATTCCTTCAATTTTTGCACTTTCAGTCTTTCCTGGTTCTTCCTCAGCATTGTAACTATATTTCCAGTATGTCCTGTATTTCACTTTGCTATTCCCTCTCCAGCCACTGCCTGTTTTCTACAAAAGTTCACTATTAGTAAAGAAAGAAGCCAAAAGTTACCTGTGTCATCTTATCTGCTTTACAAAGATGAATTATCATGTGAATGACTCCTAAGTTCACCTTTTATCTTCAGACTTCTTTCTGTCCAAACTTGTATATCAGATATTGCCTCCATTTACTTACAGGCACCTCAGCAGCAGCATAAAGAACTCTTATTTATTTTTCCTGTCATGCCTTCTCCACTAGCTTCTCTCCTGTCAACATCTTCAGTTCACTTCTCACCTAGACCTTAAGCTCAGAATCTGCAAGACAAAGGGATCTTAGGAAGATTTTTCTATAATGAATCTGTAAGGCAAATTTTTTTTCAGTAGAAAACAGCAGAAGGCTTTTCAAATTTCTCCTTCTCTTCCAGCTAACACACTTTTCCTCTAGCAAATACAATCTTTGCAATGCTCTGCAGGAATGAGAGAGAGAGTTTCCTACCCTGTCAATTTGATCTCACCAGCATTTTATGTACCCACACATTTTATTTTACAATCACGAAACAAGAGCACTACTCAGTTTTTCCTTATCAACTCTATCCTCTTATTCACAGTAAAGAGGTCAGTACCCTTTCTGATCAAATAGCAATACCAGCTTTCATCAGCCCTCGTTCAATGTTTGTATAGGTAGTTCCACAATTTCTCATGTTGCCCCTCACGCTTTAAAGGAGTTCTTTTCAAATATTCCCAAAGTCATATTATACCTTCCTCAAAAATCTCACTAAAAATCTTTGTTGTATACTCACAAAACAAATCTGACTCTAGCTAGGCTGCTGATGTGCTGTGACTGTTGCTTATCATACTAACTATAACTGTGTGAATAACCCGTTGCGCTGCCTGAACAGTACCCACCCCAACAGTACCCCTGCACGCTGGGGCTATCAAAGAGTCTCTGAACAACATGGGCACTTCTGAATACTCCATCAGTAAAACACCACGACAAGAATGAAATAATGTCTTTCATTTGTTCCAATATTATATGACTTTCTTACATCACAGCAAACCAACAACTAACCCTCAAAGCAACACCTTAATATTTTGAAGTTTATTTCTTTTGTCTTTTAAAGTGGAAACGTTCACCAAAAAAAACGGAAAGTTGCTTATGAAGCCATCTGTTCCTGTTACTTATTTCTCAAATGAAGTTTTCTGTTGCCCATTTTTCCAGCAACCAACTGCTGCCTCAGAGGCTTCTTTTTCACATGAAGTCTAGTAAACAGAGTTAACATATCACACCACATTCACAGAACTCAAATTCAACCCTAACACGCAGCACTGAAGACCATTACTAATAAAAGCCCTGTGTGAACATGAACGTATAAACCAGAAAGTGAGAAAACATCCACACAATAATTGAAGCAGAGGAACAAGATGACAAAATAAGGTTATGTTTGTAAAACGTCTTAAAAACAGTCTTCCTCCTCTCCCTATTTTGGTTCACTCCAAGAAAGTGGATCTTTGATCTCCAAGACAGCAGTAACTCATCTCCTCCAGATAAGGAAAATTAAATAGATGTAATCACTGGTTGCAAGTCATCCCAGTCATTTTTTTGCCTTGAAGAAAGTAAACTGTTGAAACTTAACATTTTATAACCTCTTCTGTATCCACAACCAGTTTTTAAGATCTGCAAACTGCTATGTACTACCTAGCATGAAACACTGATTCTTTTTTTAGCATGCCAATAACATTACTTCTCGCAACAAAACAAGTACGTAAAAGATACCACACCAAATGGATAACCAAAGAAGAAACTTAATTGGAAGAAAAGTGAAGTGCTTTGAAAAGTCCTCCAAATTTGCAAAACAGGTATCACAGAGCAGGTGCTTAAATTCTATCCACAAAGAACTGTGAACGTAACACATAATTATCTTTCAGATGATATGCTGTTGCACAAGCATACCTTTTCCTTCTCCTCACCCTTCTTAAAAATCACCGATAGTCAGCTGTAGGAGACTGGCACCCAGAAAAAGCAGAACTAAGTTTCTTCCAAACTAAACACAATGTATGCATTAATTTAAATGACAGATCATGCAAGAAATTATTAAAAGCTCCTGCAAGTTTTAAATAAATTCCTTATTTAAAAATATATTTTAAGAATAAGTTTTTAATAACGCTTTAAAAGTTCCTGCAAGTAACTATTTTTTCTTTTCCACTGCACTCACCAAGGCTGTCTGAAGTACAAGACAATTAAGTACCATCGTATTTTTCGTATAATTTGCAAATCTGTCTTTCCTCTAGTGGACAGATAAAGGCTACTTCTAAGATTCTTTGAGACAAAGGTGGTACCATTTCTCTGAATGCCTTCACATGAGTCTCCCAAAACAAGTAAACCAATCACATTCTATACAAAGCACAAGCACAGCTATAACGCACCATTCTGTATCGGCTTTCCAGGCCATGCTAAAAAACATTATATTTAACAAGGACTTTAAATCCATTTTAAGGTAATCCTTTCGTGGTTCTTGACAGACAGGACCAAAAAGTATCACCATGTACTGCTGCTAAGGGGCTTTAGGTCGATTAGAGTATTTAAAGGGGGCCACAATGATGAATATAGGGTCCAACTGCAGTCAAAAAAACAAAAGTTATATTGATAAAGTTAGCTGAAGAAATAGAACACTGCTGAAATTAAGTCAGCAAGTTCTTTTTCAAAAGTTTTGAAAGCTTGCATAAATGTTAACAGATTCAAAACTTTTTATATTTCCAAGAGCAGAAAGGAACACAGAACTCCATTTACAAGAACGCCCTCCCACGTATTCTTTTCTTCTCCCGCAAACCATACAGGGGTACAAAAGAACAGAGATGCTAACCTGAAAACCATGACAGATTTAAAAGCTAACTCACCATATTTGTCTCGCAAACCAACTGTACACCTGAAGACTCCACCAAAGGCCACATCTTCACCAAATACCACTGCAAAATAAGAACAGTAGGGAAGACTAATGTTACCCCAATGTATGTCATTTTTAATGAACGTGTTTCAAAGGGTTTTATATGAGACATTAACATAAGCAGCACCTAACATGTCGCTTTACTTCAAGATTTATCTAGATATAAGTGTTTCTCATGCATAGTCTAACAAATAAAGAACCAAGGTTAATGAGGAGTCAGTACAGCAACACAACTATGTCTCAAGACAGAATCTATGAAACCAATTCAGCTATGCTTTCATTAAGCCGTCTATTTATTTTTCTGAAATATTCTACAATATCACAATATCTAAATAAATCAATTCCAAGAAACAATTAAATTCAATCACTAACGAGTCGTTGAAGTTGTGTTCTGCTTCAACTGGTAACCATTTGCATTCTTCATCCAAAGATTTTAGTAAATGTCGTCTTTTGAAAACACGTATTAATGACACCACTTAAAGAAAAATAACTTGCATAATGATGTAAAACCAACACAGACATGGAGTTTATGATTAATGTATGTCCCCAGATCATCTAATTAATTTTTAATATTATTTGCTTTTTTTTTTATGTCCTTAAGATCTTTGTAAGGTCTTTCCATTACCATATGGCTACTCACTTTTGAACCAGCTGGCATTAAAAAATCCCATGTAATGCTGGTATCGGCAAACTTGCATGGATTTACTCATTCTGTTCAGCCACTGAAAATATTTTCCTGGACAGACTCTAATCCTCATCAGCACAAGTATGAGAATTTCCACTACTTAACAGTTGCTCAATTCCCATGCAACTGAAAACACATGAATGACATGCTTTCTATTGCAACAAGCACTAATTAATTCAGTAAGTAGGGCGATACCGACAACTTGCATGTCTGGACTGCAGAACTTCCACATGGTCTTGCAAAGGGCTTTGCAAAGATCAAGCCCTGCAAAGCTGAGGAGCAAGAATGGAACCTTCGAGCAACTGAAAAGCTGAAGATCATACATGATATCAGATTCCTGCTCGACTAACATTCTAATTCCTTTTATATCACTGATTTTGCAGAAGTGGTACTAAAATCTGTGCTTGGCACTAACTTACCTGCAGTTGTCTAATTTAATAAAGGTGATTATAACACAGCTGTAGATTGAGAGGGAATGTATACAGACACAGTAGTGGACAGACAACACGGAATTTGTCCTAACAGATTAGACGATTAGTCAGACTTCAAGTTGAGCGTGGTTCAAGCAGTGCCAAAAAGTTACTAACACACTAAAAAGAAAAACCAAAATTACACAAGATCATATAGCTTTTGAAGCTGTGTTCGTGACATTAAACATCTCTTTCAGATATCTGGCCATCATCACGCTTTTGTTATGACAACAGAAGCAACAGGCCTCCTGTTTTGTATAAGAATTAAAAGTGGAATAAAAAGACAATACCACTCTTTGAGCACAGAGAGTTGAATGGTCAGAGGGCTGGAACACCTTCCCTACGAGGAAAGGCTGAGAGAGATGAGATGGGGCCAAGCTCTTTTCAGTAGTGCCCAGCGACAGGACAAGGGGCAATGAGCACAAACTGAAGCACAGGAAGTTCCGTCTGAACATGAGGAAGAACTTCTTCCCTCTGAGGGTGACAGAGCACTGGAACAGGCTGCTCAGGGAGGCTGAATATCTCCAGAGAAGGAGACTCCACAAGACCTGCCTGGACAAGGTCCTGTGCAGCCTACTGTAGGTGACCCTGCTTCGGCAGGAGGGTTGGACTAGATGACCCACAGAGGTCCCTTCCAACCCCAAACATTCTGTGATTCTGTTCAGCCTCAAGAAAAGACCGCTGCGGGGAGACCTTGTAGCAGCCTTCCAGTACCTGAAGGGGCCTACAAGGGAGCTAGAGAGGGACTTTTTACAAGTGCATGGAGTGACAGGACAAGGAGTAATGGCTTCAAGCTGAAAGAGGGTAGCTTTAGATTAGATACAAGAAAGAAATTCTTTACTATGAGTGGAGTCACGGGTTGCCCAGACAAGTTGTGGCTGCCCCCTCTCTGGAAGTGTTGAGGGCCAGGTTGGATGGGGCTTTGAGCAACATGGTCTGGTGGAAGGTGTCCCTGCCCATGGCATGGGGGTTGGAACTAGATGATCTATAAGCTCCCTTCCAACCCAAACCACTCTATGATTCTGTGAAGGAATTAAAAACTAAGATTTACATTTTAAAAGTTCCTTTACTTATTGGGGGCTCAAGCTGCCCTTAAGTACAATTCACATCAGTAATACCAGAAGCATGTTAATCAACGTATCTTTCTGTTCCAACTTTCAAACAAAACACTCCCAACTAATACAGAAGACACAACTGCCTGTTAGATCATATAATCCATTAAAAAATGTGTTGTATTAACAGATTATAAATTTTGTTTGAGATCGAAGTGTAGAACTAACTTACTAGAGAACTTTAAAGGGCATGAGAAATGCATTTAATACTGTACACAAATAGGCAAAACAAAATGCAATTTATACAAAGCAACACACACTAATAAGTATAGTATACCTGCAGTCGGGTCTTTGGCTAATGCATTGTCCAAGGCACTTGTTATGGACTGGAAGAGATTCATCTTCTGAGTTTGCCCTGTGTGAAAGGGATTATTTAGCCATTTAATTTGGTTCAAAACACAAAGTACATTAGAAAGCACTGGCACAAAACATGACCAAAAACTTAGTTAACCGTCATAAACAAGATTCCTGTTATGGATACCCAAGATCCATTTGTTGAGTAACCATAAATTACGGGATAGACGGGATTGAGCATGGTATACATTGCAATCCCATGAACTATAATTCTACTACCCTCAACCTCTACTGCACTCAACCTTTTTTTCAAAAACTATGTTCTCAGCTACAGCAAATGCAGTTTTGCAATGCTTAGTCAAACACTAGGAATAATGACAAATACAAGAGTTTTTCCAAGGAGGAAACCATAGTAAAGCATTATTTTGTTGAGGACTGGGATCCTTTCTGCTAAGATTCAACAGATCTCATGAAGTTTACTTCATCATTCTTTAACCATTTTTAAAGTTCCAGCCTTTCTTGTTAACAGACACCTACCATTATCAGAAGTTTTCTTGACCACCTTCCTAATCTCCAGACTGCAGTCAGCCAGTGTCAGAAGCATCAAATCCATGCACCAAAGAAGGAAAAAAACTTGATGCTATACTTAAAATGGGTAAAGCAAATGCACCAGACTGCTGTACTAAGATCTTCTGCAGCATGGATTGAAAGAAAACCTTCAAAACCAAGAAAGGCTACTCAAGTGCCCTTCATTCCAACATTGCAAAGAAAAAAGAACAGGCCTGAAAGCAAAGATGGAACAAAACAATAGCCCAGTCCTCAGAAACTCTGATTCTCCAAGCAAATACAATAATGCCTTATCAGAAACCGAGTGAACAAGAAATTGCCTGGCTGACATTTGGTAGCTCTTTAACTGGCAAAAACCTTTATCTAAGTCATGATTAGGAGCCACAGCCCAGGAGAATATTACCTACCAACACACGTAGCAGGTAAAAAAAGAAAAAAAAAAAAAACACAGTGAGGGTTAGGTGAAGATCCCAGACAAATGTGAGGAGTTAGAAGTCAGAAAGGAGAACTACTTTCTGTTTGCAGTAGCTACAGTATCTCTCAACAACCATTCAGCCTCCCATCTTCCTAAGCTGTTAATTAACGTCAGCATTTTTTGTTAAAGATGTGTGTCATGCCACACCAGAGCTGGGTAGCTGCATCCTTACACATTGCTATGCTTGGTAGCTTCACTTGCTACGCTTTACATGGCCCTTTTTGAAATGGAAACTATAAAAAAAAAAATAATTATGGGAACTGTCCAAATTACACGAAAGCTACAAATAATCAACATTTAGAAATTCAGTGGAGGGAAAGCTGGGGAACAGCAGTGTTTCTCTCTTTCCCAGGTTATCCACATTAGTAGTTGGGTTACCTTTTCCACAAGATACAATCCTTCCAGTATTTGGTACAAATAAATGCCTATTATTTAAGCAACTGTCAGAAACTCCTCACACTAACTGTTCTGACCTGCTGCTCTTGCTTGTAATAAAGGCCTCCATACCAGCCCTCGCAGGACAGGAGAAACCAATTGTGCCCTTCAGATTTGAACTGTGGAGTTGGAGAAGCGTTATCATAACAATATCAGGATCAGTACTGGCATTACTTTATTTTAGTTTTGCTATTTTTCACAGAAATTCAGAGTGTGTTTTAAATCATAGGGAATTAGTTCTCTGTTAATAAGTGGCAACAAAAACTGGCCTGCCCCACAGGGGCTTCTTCACCACCATCTCAGGCAGAGCCTTGCAGCACACAGGCTTTACTTGGGTACCCACACCTCCCACCAACCAACAGAAACGGCCAAGACCCTTCTCAGAATTAATGACCAAGCTGGAACACCAATGCATCCAAATAAATAACACCCTTCCCGGAGACACTGCAGTCCACGTGAGAGAAAGAGGGCAGGCTTCTTCCAGGAGAGCTCAGCACGAGCCTTTGGCAGGGTCGCACCTCGGAAATTAAGTCGAAACGCCAGCTTTCACCCCGAGCTGTTCATTTCCAGCTGATCTGTGTTCAGTCCCAGTCGCACGATCACGAGGATCGCCCCAAACCTTTCCCTAGGCAGCAGTCCCCACTGACCCCAGGTTTATCACCACAGCCCTGACCTAAGCACGCAGTAAAAAAACCCAGGGACGGATGCACGGCATCACGCTCCTGCTGGAAGCGCTACCGCTGAAACCGGAGAGGGGCAGGGCTGGCAGGTCCGAGCAGCGCACGGCAG